GGAACAAATAACACTAATGAAAGACCTAGAGCTTGTCGCAATGTGACGCATATTCTGACTATACAAAAAGACCAACTTTTGTCGTTCCATTTTGTAGGTGCTGGTCAGCTCGTCAAACAGTTTGCCGTTCATCTCCATGAAGGTCTTCAAGACGTTGTAGACTAGAGCCACGATTGTTTGATTCCAGTGCTCTTTCGAAATGCGATACAATGCCGGGAACATTATAGGCACATAACCCTACAGCGATAGAAATCACAAATATTAGTCCAAGCGGTTCACGAGGTTGAGTTCTCTCAAGGCCACTCACTTGTGCACTTGTATCCTCAATTAGTGACAGAATGTACTCGTTATTCCAGAAATATAGCGCCCGTTCAGCAACCTGTACAAATCCTTTTTATTTACGAAATCCTTCTTTGCAGTGTTAAGCAAAAAAAATATTACCTGGACGAGTGCGGACGCTCTACTTGCATTTTCGTGTCTATCAACTTCCGGAACACGGTCTATTGATTTTCTTGAATTGCTCAGGTTCTATGATATCCAAAATTTCCTCAACTTCGCCAAGGAACATGACCTCCTTTAATAACATTGAAAGTAAGATTGGACACGACGGATCCATATAAAAGACATAAGACATAAAAGTAAAATACAATAAAAAAATACAATAGCAACGGCGACAAACCTTGCTGCTGCATGTCCTGGGCCAAAATTTCAGCAGTGCATCAAAAACTTGGCGCGTGCAAGCGCCCTTTCCTCGAATCCTTCTCGATAAACTGCACAACGCAATAGGCAAGCTGCAATAGTTCACTATATCAACGAGAAGCACACTGCTGATCGCTAAATCACTAAATAGCCTGTTCGCATTGTACGCGCCGACATACATCTTTTATCCCGAGACGGCAAATCGGTGCTAGATCCGTTTGGGAGAATAGAAACACTGGGTTATAGATACGCAAACTTTGCAAGTCATTGTATAGACCAGATCGCATTCAGAAAGACACTACGGTTCTGAATGCAAGTGCCTTCAGCGAGACTCACCCTTTTCTACTGATCTCTGTCCTCCGATGAGACAATATTCTCCCGACAGCCAAAGATCATCATGTTACAAGTAAGAAACGCTCGTGTAACGTTGGAGTACCGAAGCGAAAGAGGGGGGGGCGATCTGATACCCGTTCGCGCTGAGTGAAGATCGTATGTGGTATTTCCCATGGTTCCAGTTGTTGTCTTTTACAATTATTTCATTTTTATTGGGTTGGCTAATAAGTAATGGCCGTTTTTTTTCCAATTGAAAAATTTGTTCCAAAAGTAAAAAGTTTTGCAAGCAAGCTTAATATCGTTTAATAGCAAACTTTAACACTTAGTTATTGGAATAATCAAAACAGCTTCGGTTGAGGGAAGAGTTTTTGTGGATTTTTCAGTCGTTGAAGTTGAAAGTGAAGTCGGCGAAAATTAGCACCTTCGACAACTGCCTCTATTTACGTTTACTTGAAATTTTATGCTAATAGTTGAATTAATTGAATTTGAATTTGATATTCTAATACTACGAGAAGTTTGCTATTAAACGATATTAAGCTTGCTTGCAAAACAGTTCACTTTTGGAACAAATTTTTCAATTGAAAAAAACGGCCATTACTTATTAGCCAACCCAATACATAATGTGCACTGTGTAACCTCCTCCACGTACCCCTCCCCACTCAGCGCCGCCCTCGACGGTGGTTTCTCGGATTAGGAGTGGACGAACTTGAGGAAATAAAACAACGGAAAAGCGGTGGAAAGCTGAGAAAAGTTGGGGAAGATGAGTAAAGAGAAAAAGGGATCGTATCCGAAGGAAATTTGGGGGGAGGAGGTGCGCGGGCGCGGCATTTCGATGAGGCAGCGACATGAAAAGTGGAGGCAGAAAGGTGAGCGGTCTAGTCTTGCCTGCTCTACCAAAAAATCGCTCTGTGGCGATGATTGCTTTCCATCTCAGAGCCGTCTGGGAGATGAGTTTCACGGGAAATGGGCTAGCAAAAATCTATATAAGAAGACAGAAAATAACGTAAAAGTATAGAAGTAACCTGAGCATGGTACAGAGATAGACACTTTGGCTTGTGCAGTGGCAGCAGAACTTTCACAAGAAACACTTTATGTTCTTGTTTTAACGGCAGGGCAAAACCATTGATGATGCTGAAAATTTTCAAAATGATAATGGATCTTTGTGAACTAATAAAAGGTCATGCACATATTTTATCATTTTCCAAACAAGAAGTAAGGATACAGGTGAGGATGAATCGTTTGCCGTGGATCACCGCCACTACTCCAACCCCGCCTCAGGTTGAAAAATAATATCGTCAAATTCGAAGATCAGGGTGAACTAAAATTCAGTGATTACCAGACGTTTTCCACGACGCCTTTCACTACACAACTACCAGCGCTACTAGCAGTTTACGCTGAAACGCACACACGATCCTCATTATGCCGGCGGTCCAAAAAAATGATTATTTGCTCTGTGTGTACTTAACCACAGCAGTACTCGCTATCATAGGCAATGCAAGCCCGCAGCGTGGGAAAAACTAAGCGGAATAACCACATTTGATTGCATTTCTCACGCACGCAATAAAACGTAACACCATGGCGCATAAGTATGAGGAACGCACGGACGCAGTCGGTTTGGTCGTGTTCAGCCCATTGATATTGGGCTGCAATGGGCTGTCTAGCCTCCCATATGGGGGTTCTATGTCTAGACGAAACTCTCTACGTGTTCACTTCGGTAAAAAAATTCTACGTGGTTAACTCCAGTGAAACTCCTTTTTCGATGGGGATGAAGGGGCGTGTCACGGAAGAAGGGTTTGAGCCGGCGCCAAACCCTTTCTAAACCAGTTGTTAAAGCGAGTACGCTAGAACACTTGCTGGAAAACGACTGAAAAGAACGATGTGATAGTCTTCCCGCTTGCTCGCTTCAAGAACTGGTGAGAAACGGGTCTGGCATTGGGCCAAACCCATTGCGCCTTCATCTACAGCAATAAAGACTGTGCTAAATTTAATGCAGCGACATTTTGTCTCCTAAGCCCGTTGGCGCTTTCATCCTCACTGTCTCATCTTCTAGGCGCGAGGAGAGAGAAAGAGGTCAACAACGACGCTTCGTGGACAGCCCATCTGGCAATCTCAGACAGAGCCTTTTAACAAAATCAGTTACGCCCTAGTTCACAACTGCTTAGGCATTGTTCACAGTCTGCGACCTTGACGAAACGGCGGTTGGGAGAAAAGCAACTGAGCAACAAATGCGTTCGTTTCGCTGACGCGACCAAACGCCGCGGCGCCAATCAAGCTAGCGTTTTCGTCGAAGGCGGAACAAAAACGTCGCGTATTGGCGAAACGCCCGTCGATTCGTATCAAAACCCTTTCGCCCAACCGCCAGTCGATACGTATCAAAAGCTTTTCGCCGAACCGCTGCGTTCCAGAGAAACGCTGGACCGCAGACTGTGAACAATGCCTTATGTCAACTTTGAAGCACAAAATACCTCACGCTGATGTTGGAATGAGCCAACACTTTTGAAAACAAAATCACCTTCCATCAGAATTTTCCACAGCAGTTCACTCAACGCCGTTGAATTGAATCCGTCTCGTTAGACAAAAAGCTAAAAAAATCAAAAAGATGAGAAAAAACGTAACATCAAGATGCCGCGTTTTATGTAACATGACACATGAAAAAAGTCCAAAGAAGAAACTCACGACAAAAACATATTGTTGATCTGTTTTCGAATAAAAGCCCGGAGTCCTAAGAACTTCCCGTAGATACGATGCAGAACCGTCTTTAGAAAGTCGCGCTCTCGTGGGTCCTCGGAATCAAATAGATCAAGGAGCTAAAAAAAAAGCAATAGAATTAGTTTTAGAGAACCAGACAGGTCTTGTTCGCGGTTTGGCGCGGTGTCAAACGTGCTCTTTACCGGGTGTGTGACAAGAGGATCGTAATTCGCCGCGCTGCTGGGCGTCGCGTGCGACGTCCCCTCTGCAAAGGACGATGGTTCCAGGTAGTAGATGGCGACAACATGCAATTAAGGACCGAAAACCGTAACGACTGTCTACGATACGGTCAAACATGAAGTCCGGTGCTTCCATTCGACAGGTTAACACGAGTTAAGAAAAGCCGCTCCCATCGCCGCGCGGCGGTGCGGCAAATTACGATCCTCCTTACCGTCTCCCCTCTTTACCAGCTGCTGAAGCGGATAAGCGACAACACTGTTGAAAAATGATTGCTACGAACGATAGGATACAATTCTGCTGGCCTACCTCGCCTCAACAACTGATTGAAAAAGGGTTGGCGCCGCGTGTAACCTGTCTCGCGTGACACGCCCCTTTTTCTGCACCGAACTAGACGCCGCAACCCGAAGTCAGAATGGAAACCCACATTTAGGACGAAGCGCTGATCAATGTACTTCTTTCCAATTGATGCTTGGAAGTCTGGTGATTCCAGAAAGCGTAGGAATAATTCATAGACAAGCTGAAATGATAAAATAAGCCATATGATGAATGAAAACTCCGGATCAAATCACAATTATCGAACTGACGTAAATTTCCCACTGTTTCACCCATACTCTACTCGATATAACAATCAGACGAGTCAGGACCTCAAAGACAGTTGGCACGGTAAATCCCAGAAGGCGACTAGGACCAATACTCCTGACAGGATAGAATTCCGCGACCCTGGGCAGGCGCTGCATAGCGGTTTCCCCGTGCTCTTATAAGGGCCCTATCATAAGCCCACAACATTACGTCCTAAACGCCTGCCACGCCCCGCCCACAAATGGACGACCGTTCCTGACGCTCGTATTCATTCATTTGCTAAGCAAATTATGAAGCGAAGGGATTGGTATGAAGCGGCCGTGATGCTGCATGCATAATGGGTACACATATGCAGCCGTATCTTCGGTAGCGGTGATTGGTAAGATGCCTACGGGAAACTCGTCCGAAATCGATTTTCAAGTCACTGAGAACGGAGGCTTTTTCGGCAAATTTCTGATCGTCTCACTCCGTTCTTTCGCCATTCTTAACACGAATACAGCGCCTTACTATTGTTAGGCCAAAGTAGAAACCATCGTGCCAAACTGCCTTAAACAGTGAACACTGCTCAACGAGTAGAGGCAGAGTTGGAATTTGGCTTGCCCAAGAAGAATTAGCACTAATGTGGAGGGGGAGAGGATGATTCTGACAAAAACAGAGCTTCCCTCCAATTTTACAGTCTGTGGTCGTTGATTGGTCGGTCGAGATTTCGCTGGGAAAGTTAAAAGTATCGAGGCGAACGGATTCAAGGGAATAGGGATCCCAAAGCAAGGATTCATTTGCTTCTTCTTCAATGCTGACTCTCCCTGTTGTAACGCCTTCCCCCTGCCTTTCCCAGCGAGCAACTGCAACAACAATGGGATTCTCCGCATACACTAGTATCGGGTCAATTAGCTATGAAACTGCCTCTTTGCGCGCGATGCGATGTCGAATGTCCTTAGCTAACCCATGTGGTTCATCGTACATTCAGCCCTTTAAACATTACCTGTAGGTGTGGCCAAGACACTTCTAATGTGGGCTCATCTTCCTCAGGATCAAATTCGGAATTGTCTGACGGTGGCAGTACACGGAAGATATTTTTCGAGACCATTTTGATTACCTGAATTTCAGTAATTGTTCTACGAACAACAAAAGCAGCAATAACCTACAAAACCAAACCTCAGGATAAATCGACTCGACTATTGCACCTTTTGTGGTTCGTAGATGGATCAATAAGCTCGTTTAGTGCGCACGTTTAATCTGAAACATCCGCACTCTCAGCTAAAACGATACAAAGCTTTAAATCTTATCAGAACCGAACACTGCGCGTAAAAACGTAAACCGGCCTGCGTTCATACTTTGCGACCGTGTATTTGGAGGACTCGCCGATTTGAGAGATTGCGCAAAGAATTATAGATATCGATCCGATTCCAGTCGCCACGTCGATACCTATACAGTCCTCATCATCACGGACTGTCGGGGCGGCACAGCCGCGCTGCAATGACGCGACGGCGGCTGCGGCTCGGTGATGGCGAATCAGCTGATTTCCATAGGAATTCGGCTGCGAATTCCCACTTTTTCAACTCTTCGAGCTTCGAAAGTGGAAGGTGAGTTATTTTGAGCAATTTTAAATTGTACTGACTCTGAATGAATCTGAAAGAATGCAAGCCATTTGAATAAATGCCTGAAATAAGGCAAAATACCCTCGTCATCCGAGCAGTTGATTAGGGCGGTCGTCAACGGGCCGCAGCGCGTGCCAGGAACTATTTGCTTTTCCAGGCTAATTTAGTCATTTTTCCAACTTTTCACTGTTTTGGCTACTTTTTCCAGATTAGCAGCTCCTTATCTTCACAAGGTGGAAAAAATGACTAAATTAGCCTGGAAAAGCAAATAGTTCCTGGCACGCGCTGCGGCCCGTTGACGACCGCCCTAATCAACTGCCCGGATGACGAGTATAAGAAAGAGCCTATAGTCGACATAAAAAAATAAGGGAAATTTCCGAAATAGAGAATGTAGGATAGAGATCGAAATAGAAATGAAGAAAGATTTCCTTTATTTTTATGTCGACTATATGCTCTTTTCCTTGTAGCCTTATTTCAGGCATTTAGTCATAATGGCTTGCATTCTTTCAAATTCATTCAAAGCCAGTACAATTCAAATTGTTCAGAATAACTCACCTTCCACTTCAGAAGCTTGAAGAGCTGAAAAAGTAGGACTTTGCAGCCAAATTCCATCGAAATCATCACGGTCTACGGACAACTTGAACTCAATCCCTTTGAACGCGTCGATCTTCTCTTTTTCTCTGCACTCCTCCTCTGCATGGCACTATATGGGCGTTGTGACTTCGCTTCTTCGCCATCGCTTTACCACCTGACTATAAGTAGCATCAACCCACCCTGAAGGTAACCTCCCCTCTAAAAATCCCGTCTCTGGCCGCGCCATACGTTTTTAAAAACCTTTCGCATGCTTTGGCAAGCTGCTGCCCTCTATCCCGTCTGCGTCACAGGGGTTTCGTAACTGGACCATGCACAAAAATTCAAGATGTTACGTAACCCTGATTCACCGTCACCGAGCCGCACCCGCTGTCTCGCCACAGTGCAGCGCGGCTGTGCCGCCCCGACAGTCCGTAATGATGAGGATCGTACTTTCCTCGTCGCGAAATCTCCCAAATCACCGAATCGCCTCACTCACGAAGTATGAATGGAACCTAACAGTTGGGTTGAAAAATGGTTGTGAACAAACTGACCTCTTTACTTTTGAGTTGCGCCACCGGATCATAGAAATCAAAAATTTTCTGGCATTGATTCAACTTTTGCAGTACAAGAGCTGGCTGATCGTTGGCTGGCGTATCTAAGAAGGTGATCGAAGTTAGTCTGGGACACTTTTTATAAAAATCACAAAAATACGAAAAAAAAATTCGTGAAAAAATTCTCTGGAAAAAAATGATGATGTTTGCTTTCAATAGCGCGCTGGCGAAAATTCATGTTATGGAAAACCTCAAAATATGACCCCACAATTTCCTGCTTCGATACGACTCCCATCCGCACCCTACCGACGTTCTTGCCAAATTTCCCAGACGGTCTCCCCGCTAAAAAGGGAGGGAGGTGGGGGTACAGCGCTGGGGAAACTAGGAAAGTCAACAATTAAGAGCATCCGTCTCGGGATGTAGCATGATACCCTCTCCCAGAAGGCAAATACTACCATGCCTGGGACCTAAGGCTGGATAGCGCGCGTGAAAAGGAAAAATCAACGATTAAAAAGATGTCTCAATCCAGGTACGATATGGTCCCTT